ATTCTCCTAAAAACGTATCTTTACAGATAATACTGGTCTGTAAAACACTGAATTATTTCAGACCATAATATATATATTTAAACATTTTTCGGACTAAGAGACCCATTTACAGTGCTTGTACATTTGTTTATTTTGTTAGTAGTGCTATAACTTACTAGTGTAAGCCTCGTGGTGTGCTTTGTGGAACATGAGGAGTTAAAATTAAAATTAACAAAAACAAAAAACAAACCAAAAAAAAAAAAAAAAACTGACACCTTTCAGATTTTATATTATGCCTGAAGAGGCGTTTTTTTAACGTTTTGTGTATTACATTTATTTGTTAAATATCGCGTTCTTCTCACTTAGACCATAAAGTTCAATTTAACAGCAGTATCACAAAATATTTAAAAAGAAGAATATCTTTAAAATTTCCGATACACAGTCTCGCGTGCTGGAGATAAAAATGTTATCTCCTCCCCGTACAGTGTTACCATCGCTCGCTTTCAAATCGTTGAGTTTGTTAATCAGACACTTGTTTATGTTTTATAAAATATAAAATAAATAATTCAACAAATTCCATATTCGAGTGGGGGGACTATATTATTCAAAATTTGATGTGTCTAGGTACCACTGAATTTTCACAGAGCAAGAAAGATGCATACATTCATGCAGATTCATTATTTAATTTCATTTAATATAATGCAGGGCTCTAATATTTGGTGGCAACAATTTGAAAAGTGAAACGCCGTTTTATAGTGCACGACGTAACATGCCGAAACGAAACTAAATAGCTCTTGCGGGCAAATTGCCCCTTTTGGCTAGAACAAACTAGCATGACTAATAAAGTAAGCTTGAAACCTTACTGATAAAGTACAAATACCTTATTAATAAAGTAAACTTGAAACCTACTCATCTAACTCTAAATATCTTACGAAGAAACGTTTCAAAAGTGATATCGATGAAAACAATAAACGAATAAAACTGCACAGACGACTCTAGACTCTGTTTTCGCTAAATGGCAAGAAAAATAGGCCAGAAGGAGCTAATGAGATAATGGCCGTCAAATTAAATCAATAATTCCAATTACTGCAGCTTCCTGTTCTGAAGAGAGATTCTGTGGTATTCATCGATCGATTAGATTCAATTAAGCGTAATTTCTACGCATGATAGTATAATTAGAGAACCAACTTTAGGGCAAAGATGTTTAGCCTTTTCAGTGTATGAAACTTCAGCCAGACAAAGCTCAAGGCCTATCTTAATGCTATGCTCTTTTATCCGCTACGCTGCAAATACTGTAGATATGCTTACAAAGTTTTAAAAAAAGGAATAAATTTTGAGTTCATTCTGTTCGGCTGTTTGAAACTAATGAAAATATTTCGTCTTTCTAAACAGAAATTAATTTTTTTTCCTTCTTTGCATTTATTGTTGATGTCATTTTCCTCATGTGTAAAAAAGATGTGATTTGCCTCAAGTGTAGCGCAGATATGAGCAAGATTCCCTTAGAAAGTTTTCCCTAAAGGCGTCCCTTTCCTCAGATAATCCTCTTCTGCTTTGCCATAATCAAATAAACCTGAAAGAAAGTATTACACATGTATGTATAAAAGTAGTATATTTTTTTATTTAAAAAAATTATCATATTTTTTACATATTTTAAGAAAATTTTGAGTTTTACTGATTTTGAATTTCATTTCTTTAAAATTTGATTCTAAATTTCTTACGTTCTGGCTACATATGTAAGAATATGGTGAACAAAAATCAACTATCTTTGGTTAATTTCCTAACGAGAAGGCACAAAGAAAATTCACTACATTTGGTTGCTATTAATTGTGTATATATTACCTCTTCATTATTTAATTAATTTCTCAGAATTTTGAGCGTAACTAACAGCATTTATTAATTAGATTTAAACGCAACCTAAAATTGCTATATATATATAAGCCCAAAGGGGCGGTAGTTCAGAACGGCTATTAGTCTCAAAAAAGGCATTTTTGTTGCGTTTCAATATAAATGGCGAATCACTTTTTAAATTGCTGCCATCAAATATTATCAGTCTGTATTATATTTAAAGAAACTGAATAATGAAGAATTTGAAAAATTAAACAAATCTGAAATAAAATAATGAAGAAACATAAATGTATGTATGTTTCTCCTATTATGAAAAAATTGACGATACTTGAAGCCATAAAATTTTAAATAACTAATCCCTCCACTCGATCATGGGCACTTGGACGCCCGAATTTTGTCTATTTACATACAGATGTTACATTTATTTAACAGTTAACAGCATTTTGCACAAGAAAAATATATTAAGTATTTATTCATTATTTTATCTGCTTTTTTAACTAATTAAAGATTAAGAAATAATAAAATCCATATTTGCTAAATCCTTTAATTTTTCCTGTGTCAAACAAAAGTTGTCATTCTTTTAAAGAAGTTTATAATCGTTTCGAATCGTTTACAATCGCAGTTTTTTATTTTATGCCTGCTCATTGTTACTGCTGGGAATATTTATTCTCTTATTTGCTGCCGCTGGGTGAAAGAAATGGAGTATAGTTTTAATTAACGTTGAGATAAGGATAAAAATTAAGAAACATTTATATTTTTTAAAAGATAAAAAGATGAATATTAAGAAACATTTATCTTTTTTAAAACATAAAAAAGATAAATATTAAGAAACGTTTATCTTTTTTAAAAGATAAAAAGATAAATATTAAGAAACATTTATCTTTTTTACGGAATTTTTCATTTAAAAAAATTCTTGCTAAAAGTCGTGAAAATTTAGCTTTTGTCAGTCTTCTAGATATATTTTATTGTTACGAGTTTCGTATATATGTAAATAATTTTAATGAAATTATTATATCTAAATTCTAGTGTCTTATGTACAATGTAGCATGAAAGGCTTCAAGAAGCGAAGCATCAAACTGATGATGGTTTTGACGACTATTGTTCTCGCCACATTTGGCAAAAATCGCTCAAAACCGACAAATTTGGCGACATTTTGGTCCGATCCCTATGTAAGTGCAATTTTATTTTAACTTTAGCTGTGTATGCCTTCCAGAAATATCGAAAAACCAAATGTACTGGAAATTTCTAAGCGAATGGGAGAGGGAAATTATTTATATGGTTTGAGAGAGCATCAATTTTAGTTCAGTGAGTTTAGATGAGTACTCTGAATACCTCTGAGCAATGAGTTTAGCTCAGAGTATTGAGAGATCACTGTGCGAGTTCATGCATTTGAAGGCTTTTTGTACTGCCTTTTGTTAAACTTGATTATTAGTTTCAAGTGATAACTATAGATTGTGCTTTGCCATCCTTAAAATAGCTCAATGAGTACTTTTGTGTGAAGAGTTCAGGAAATGTTAAGTGCTTTTGTTAAAATAAATTTTATCAAGCTATCATCAGTTCTGTGTGCATTCAACCGATTACGAACGAGTAAGCACGTAGCATAGCTTTTATCAACATATTCATAGCTATTACAGGTATCTACTAGCAATTAGCAATACGAAAGCCATAACGTGCATAAATTTAGAGGACTAGTGTTGAATAAAATGTTGAATTGAACTTATGTTTCAGTTGCAAGAGTGAAAATGAAGACAGAGAAGCGTACTTATGCGATAAACAATAGAAAAAAAAATCGAGAAGGTTCCATATAGGAGATAAAACAGAGCTATTGGGCTCCATTTACTGATACAACCTTAAACTAAAAATAACTTGAAATTTTGGCCCAAAGGGCGTTAGCCCAGGAGGGTTACTAATTTCGTTATGGCATTTTGCGTTAAAAACTTTAAATGTCGGTTCACTTTTCAAACTGTTGCCACCAAATATTGTATAATACCTCTGTATTATATTTAAAGAAATTATATAATGAAGACTCTATTAAATTTATTTATGTTTCTCGCATTGGGATAAAATGACGCTACGTACAGACATCCGATTTTGAATAAAGTATGTTTCCACCCGAATATAGGAATTTAGAAGCCAACATTTGGAATTTGTTTTATTATCTATTTCTTATTTTGTAAAACTTTAACGAATTTGAGTAACAAACTCAACGATTTCAAAGTGAGCAATGGCAACACATCACAAAAAAAAAAAAAAAAAAAAAAAAAAAAAAATTATCTCCAGCGCTTGAAACTGTGTATCGTAAATTCTAAAGATACGCTCATTTTAAAATTATTTTGCGAGTTTGCTGTTGAACTGAATTTTATGTTTTATGTACGAAGAACATGATATTTAATTAACAAAGGTAACCCACGAAACGTAAAAAATGCCTCTTTGGGCTTTGGGCGTAATGTAAAATCTCAAAGCTTACAGACTTTTTTTTTTTGAAAAGCTGGGAATAAGACAGGGTGAGAATTCAGATCATTACCATTATTAGAAAGATTTTTATAAACGTAATATGTTCCAGGAAATCTAATACGAAACCAGAAGATGTTTCCTGAATACGTTTGGCTGCAGAAAAAGTAATTTTGTGACCAGGAATGATAGGTAGAGGAGGATTTATACAATACTTTCCTACCAACGTAATTCTTATAGTCTTTATTACGAAACCCTTGCTTGTAAATGATTATAAAGTAACTAAAAATTAATTTTTCAAATAATTTACTAAAACATGGGTATTTAATATTACAACAGCGATTTTCAAGTTAACTCTTTATATTTTGTGAAATCAAAAGTATGTAAATACAGGGTGCTGTTCTGTTCTCAGAACCGGATTCAGAAATGTATGTATGTATGAATGAAAGTATGTGTTAATGTATGCATGTATATATGTAAGCATGAATATATGTGTGTGTTTATATGTATGCATATATGTACATCCATACATACACACACGCATACATTCATAAATTTCTGAATCCGGTCCCGATAACAAAACAGTACTAAATACCGATATGTTTCTGTACTTTTGATATTTGTGAATCCACTAAAATAACGGATTAGAAAGTTTTTTTTTTTTTAAATAAAAGAAAAGGAGGGAAGTTTACGGAACCTAATTTTTCTTTTGTTTCCCAGCTATAAAGCAGCATGCATCAAACACTGCATAGAACCGATTACCTGTCTCCCGATCCCCAAACAGCTTAAAAACTGGTTTTTACTGTGATGAAGGTTGCTGTGAAGGTACTGTGATGTACCGGTGCTGGTCCTATGTCGGCGTCGTACTTATGCAGGTACGGTAAGAATATTAATTTAATCAAATTCTCGACTGTGTGCTTCTCTTTTTTTACTTGGCTTCATTGGGCAATAACCATTTCATTCCAGTATGTGCTACATGGTGCTATACTGGTGATGACCGTACACAGAGTAGTCGTACACCTATGACAGCTCTTTAAATGGGACAGATGTCTATTAATCATCTTACTCATTATTACATGACTATCAAAATTTCTATTTTATCGTGTCGGTACTAATCCGGTGTTTATTGCAGGTGATTACCGTTGTCGACCCTGTGCCGTGCTGGTCCTACGCATTGTCGGTCCTATGGCTGGGCAGTATTGGTACTATGAATACAATTAACTCTCTTGCATCTTTTTTAAATTAAAAATTGCCAATGTTTATGCTGTGTATATGTTACCGTGAAAGACCGAAATTGGAGAATGTCGACTTTCACCGGAGAATGTCAACATTCACCAAATACGTCGGTGAAAGATCGAATATTTCTTTACATTCTTGTACATTCGCACCTTCACCGGTGTATGTCGACAATCACAGATATGCTCTGCTGTAGGTCGAAAAGAGAGGAGTATATGTACACGCTACCATTCCAAAAGGAAGTGTTTCACAAATAAATGCAGTTGTAAAAGCAAGAGCCTCTTGTGCAATTCAAAGTATCATAATAGTTTAAGTTGTTGCAATAAATAAGATTTGAATCATAGAATTTGGTAAGTTTATAACTTCTATTATTTTCCTTTCTCATTTTGAATGTACTGTGTGTTCTAAGTTCTTTAGGTTCTATATTCTTAAGTTCTTATTCTGAGTCTCAAGTGCGTTTTTTCGCGAATGAATTACGGAGAAGGAAATATAATATTCTTATATGTTCAACATTCACCATTAAGTACATGGTGAATGTCGACATTCCCCGGTGTAAGTCAGAAATAAGAGTATTTGGAAAATATTTCGGACATACACCAAGCGGCTATGTGAATGTTGACATTCACCGGTGAAATTCGACATTCTCCAGATTTTGGTGTTTCACCGTAACATATATTCTTTGTAAGTTTAATAAATTGGATTTTGATTACTTAATTATGGCAAAGCACACGAGGGCTATCTGGCTAAAGGGAGTGATGCCTTCGTGGAGGACTTTCTAAGGGAAACTGGCTCGTATACACGTTGCACATGGGGAAAACCACGAAAACGCCCATGCAGCCAGCCCGTTCGCGGGATTCGAACCTCGGACCGAACTACCAGTGTTCAGCGTCTTTACCGCTCGGCCACTGGTGAGCCTTTAATAAATTGCAACTTTTAGTTTAAAACGGATAGAAAGGTTTTTCTCCCCCCATTCTTTTTTTAAAATCGAATACGATCAGAAAACGGCAATATATAATTAATTCACTTAAACTCAGTATGATATTCCTGAAAAAATTTAAATATTATACATATAAATAATCTAAAAATTCCATGTACGAAATTTATGGATTGGTATTCTGAGGGGAGCAGGACGTAATAAATAAAAAAATTAAACAAAAAGAAATAAAAGGTTTCGGATTTTAAATTACTTCCAAACGGGCTTTTTTTAACATGTTGTGTGTTACTTCATTTATTAAATATCATATTCTTACAACTTAAACCATAAAATTTAGTTCAAGAACGATATGGAAAAAATATTAAAATGAGCTTTAGAATTTCCGATGCACAGTCTCGCACGCTGGACATAAGACTATTTTATCTGTACAACGTTACCATTACTCGCTTTAAAATCCTTGAGTTTGTGAATCAAAAATTCGTTAAAGTTTTACAAAATATGAAATCGGTAATAAAAGAAATTCCAAATTTAAAATTTGGTCTTCCAGATGCCCATATTCGCAGGAGGTTTACGTTATCCAAAATTGGATGGCTGAAGGTACCGTTGTTTATCACAATACGAGAAACATAGATACATTTATTCAGATTCTTCATGATTTAATTTCTTTAAATATAACACAGGGCGATAATGTTTGGTGGCAACAATTTGAAAAGTGAAACAACGCTTATAGTGAATCGACGCAAAATGCCAAAACGAAATTAATAGCTCTTCAAGGCAAATTGCCTCTCTGGAGTAAAAAGGTATTCTAGGGGGGGGGAAGACAGACATTCATAAAGAATAAAAAAAAAGGAATTAAACAATAGAAACTTGGAAACGTGAATGATACATCAATAAATACTTGAAATTTGTTTTATGTCTAATGTTTGTCATGTCTTTGTCTCTTCATGGTGATAAGGAACTACTTGAGATATTGAGAGAATTACCAGAACATGATAGAAGAAACTGTAGATGCAAAATCGTGCCTATCTACTACTGCAGGCTTGCTACAGACTTTCGATTTTAAAAAATGCTATATGTATACTAATTGAGCTCATATTGTTTTCTCTAGAAGCGAAAGTCCAAAAAAATGTTATAATTATATTATTTTGTTAATGTTTATTTAATTGAATACCGCAGAATACTGGAGAGCTATTTGGTTAAAAGGAGGGATAACGTTTTGGAAGGCTTTCCATTTAAAGGATTAAACTGAATTATTTGATTGTAGCAAACACACGTGGCTAACTGCCTGTAGAGGGAGATGCCTTGGTGGAGGATGTTCTGAATGAAACTGACTGGTTCACTTTAAAAATGAAGAAAACTACAAAACTGCCATACAGCCGGGCAAAATCATCGCGATTTGAACCCGGGTCGAACTGATATCAGCAATTTTACCGCTCAGTCGCCAGATAGCTAGAATTTCTAAAGCGTGTTTATCATCTTCACATTACATACACGGAAGTCAAGAAAATTATTATGCGACGAACCGTTCATCAAGATTCAAATCGCCACAAACTACTACAGTTGCGCAGTCTTATTCGCTTTGGAAAATAGTGGGCCTAGTTCTGTTAAGTTAGATACTTTGATGAAATTAATGAAGACAATATAAAAATACATTTTGATTAAATTTTATGACTATTATTCCTTTATTTTTTCCCTTTACTCTATTGGTTTTCAGTTCTCTTTCTAGAAAGAAAATTTTAAAAATATGTGAAGACGTAAAATTTTTTAATTAAAAGACTATCTTATCTGAACTTAGAGCCCGACGCTCTTTGTTTCAAAAAAGAAAATTTTTTAAAATATTCGAAAATGAAAAAATATTAATTTTTTTTTAAAAAAAAAGGTCGAAAACGTCCTTAAAGATTTTTGAATAAAGCGAGTATATTATTATCAGTGGAATTTTATTTTATACGCGAGTTAAACTTAATTACCTAATTAAAGCAAAAGACGGTGTCGTTTGAAGAACTCCAAGCACCACACTTCGAACGAAATTAATTAACTCCCAGGTTCTTCCGAAAGGGGTTGGCCATTCATTGCGGCGGAAGAAACTACAAATAATTCATGTCTGCTTTTCCGAATTCTGGAATTAAAAGATAAATTAAGAATCGTAGATTCGTGTTAGGTTTAATACAGATAGAGCAACGAATTATTGCCGGCACAGTGCCCATTAATCGATAAAAGGGATCACGGGAAATTTTTCGTTTCCTGATGTGCCATGTTGCGAGAGGCAGCCCGACCCTCCCGGCAGACTTTACGTCGCCTTATGTTCTTTTCATGTGCTGCACCAGAGCAAGCCAGAAACAACGACAGCCCCAACAATATGTATAATGTTTCCCGAGGTATATAACTGTTTCATTTATATTAAAGTATCGGGCACAGATACTTTGTGTTCTTTGTATTTTTAATACGGACTGGCCTTGTAACAAGCGATAGTTTTATCTCCAAAATAGAATTTTAAGTAAATAATCGTCTTGATAATCACCGTTTTTCTATTTAAATTTTTTATTAAATTACAAAAACGCAATAAATTTATTGAAACTACATTATGTATAAAATAATTTTAAAACAATTTCATTATCTGAAGCTTATACTAATTCTCAAATAATAAGAGAAAGAAATGCTATGCTTTCTTACTTTACTGTGGACGCTGTGTTATTTATCAGCTGTTAGCTGTCAGAAGGTTAGATTAGGTTAGGTTACATGAATACAGCAATCAGCCAGCCCTTTCGCTTGGGAGCAAAGCCAGCAGTATTCAACGGTCAAAAGCACTCGGCAAGACAAACAGGGACCGAGTTGTAAAGTCACAGAACACTGATAGTTAGATACGAGGTTCGATGTCCCGGTGGCATATTTGACAAGTGCACATCTGTGTAGCCACCGTGGGAATAGCTTCTAGGATGGACCAATGGGCATCCAAGTAATATTTCTCTCATGTTACATGACCTTTCGTGTATTTTAAGATTTAAACAAGATGGCTGAAAATATTCTGCCACGCAATTTTCTGTACGAAATAATTAAAGCATCGTCGATTTTTTCTGAAAATTTTCATTGCAAAGTTAGATCAAATATAAGCAATTGTGAAGATTTCACTACCTGGTTGAACGAATTTGAAATAAATACAAACGCATGTTGGATACTCCGCAAAAATATGCATGTGAAATATTACTTAATAAATGGTAAATAAGATGAAGAGAGAAATATGTGATAAACATGTGAGCCCAAGTGCTATCTTTATATAAAACTATGCGTATGAGAAAAAATATTTAGATCAATTATATATGTAAATAGAAGTCAGAACCTTTTTTTGCAGTCTATATGAAAAAAAGATGTTCTATAATAATAGCCAATGCAGAATTTTAGTCAAAGTGAACTATACTAATTTGAATTCGTATACATTTAGTGGATTAAATTTCACATCTAATAAGTCTTCAGCCTTAAATATACTGTCTACACAAGAAATACTCATCAAACAGAATAAATGTATCTTATTCACAACGAATACATTTAATTTATTCACATATAACTTTTAGTGTTAACAGTGGATATAATCAGATCATATACAATATGTATTCTGAATTTCACACTTTCAAAATGAAAAGAATGAAAGCACTGAAATAAGAAAACACTAGTTTTATTGTAAGACTTCCAGTCCTTCTCATCTCAATTAAAAAAACTATAACACTTGAATTCTCTTAATCCACATGTGTTAGTAATGCATAATATTCGAGGCTAAAACTGTAGCTTGAGTCATTTCTCTGGATTTAAAGAACAATAATACGCCGTGAACATCAAACCAAATACTAATGCGTGATAAAAATCGCGAAAGTGAAATGCCAGCGAATAATTAAAACTCATAAAACAAAAGCACTACGAAATTTTTCTACTTTTATGCCGTACATTTATAAGTGCGAAACAAATGCCAATTAAAAGAGAAACACGAAGACATGCACGAAAAGTTAGCCTCACAAGAGCAATAGAAGCTCATTGGCCCATTTT